AATAGCTAGTCATCTTAGCACATGCCCTTAGTCCCAGAAATCAGGAAGTAGATGTATACATAGACTACTTCACAGAAGTGTAAGTCAAATATCCCTGTTGCCCTCTTAAGCTGCTGTCAGTCAGAGTTCTTTACCACAGCAACAGAAATGAAACTAGAACAGATAATATCCTGGGAGAGGTAAATATCATTAGTGAAGAGACAGGTTGACTACAAAGTGATCTAAGCACACTTGCAAAGGTAGTGGTAAAACTTCTAAATATATTGATTGCAGTGATTGTTGTGTATCTCTACATTTGTCAGAAGTCACAATAATCAAGGAAAACGGTGAATTATATTATTTGGCAATTAGGAGTTAAAAGAAAAATTCATAATATAAAATTAAAATAAAAAGAAGAATTGCTGTGGCCATGGTGTTTCTTTCACAGCAATAAAGTCCTAGGGTAGAAGTTGGTACCAAGAACTGGAGTATAAGCCTGACCGAATTTCTTTATGATGGAATACGAACTTTAGGACTTTTGGATCAGAAAAGCCATTCAATGCTTTAAACAGTGTTTAATGGACCATACTTGTAGGAGCATGGAATACAGTTGTGTTGAGAGTAATCTGAACTGAAGGGCCCTGACTCAAGATGCTTCAGAAAAGAAGAATTTTCATATGTGACCTAGAGTCTGTTCTTGGGATATTTTGGCAAAAGTGTGTGGCTGCTTTCTGTCCTCATCCAAAAAATCTGCCAGATGCTAAATTGAAGTGCTATGTATTAATGACTTTGCCACAGAAAATTTCCAGAAAACCCAGATTTTATTGAATGCATGAATGGGTTGCTTGGTTATTAGTGACCACTGTTAATCAGATCTATAAAGACAAGGAGCAAGCTGAGCAAAGAAAAATGCAGAATGTACTGTTGGAGGAGAAAGGATACACCAAGAAAAAGGGTTAAAGAAAAGTTTGATCCTACATGGAATAAAAGGGTTGGTGACCTCATGGCTAGATCCCACATCCAGCTAAGTTTCCAATTAAAAAAACCTATCTAACATTTAGTGCCTCCTGTGCCTGATTTTTATATAAACATGTTCTCATTTAATCCTAATAGTTCAATAAAGTCAAAGTGAGTACAGATGTATATTCTGGCAAAACAATATGCATACAGAACGGAGAGAAGCCTTCATTAAAATGCATACCAATTCAAATGCAAAGCATTCCCCCATTCTACACTTTAAACATTCCTTCTACTGGACATTATAGTAAAAATTGATAAAGCTACATATTTCTACAAGCTTCAGGTAGACTGATGTAATGGTGACTATAACAAACTGGGAAAGAAGTAAGTGAGCAATATATATCACAATATTCTACTAAATATTTATCATATTGGTTATAGTGAAGAATCTTATAGGTATAGTGCATTGTCTCTTGTTACTAAGGATACTCTGGCATAATAGAGTGTATAATTCTTAACAAAAGTGTGCCATAAAGACTACCTCAGAATTGATCAAAATCAAGAATAAAACTTGTCTCCTGAATAACGCATTTAGTTAAGCATTACATGTGTATATTCATGAATACACACACACACATACACACACACAAAGAGAGAGAGAGAGAGAGAGAGAGAGAGAGAGAGAGAGAGAGAGAGAGAGAGAGAGAGAGAGAGAGAGAGAGAGAGAGAAACCACATTAAAACAAAGAAGAAACTAACTCAGCTCACACCTTGAGTTTTCTTCTAGATTTCAATTCCTACATCCTGGAAAACTACCCCAGTTTTATAAGCATGTGACTCTTTAAAGGCAAGTGGGTCCCATGTCAATTTCTGAACAACAGCCTTGAACCCAGACTTGATGTTGAAGGAGCTACTCTCCGTTCTCTGAGCACACAAAGGCAAACCTAGTTTCTTGAGAACTGTATTCTTCTTCAATGACTGACAATCTTTTGGGGCTGACTGTGAGCACCCACTGCACCTCATTACTTGAAGCATCACTTCCTTTTGCATTTTGTCAAAAGAGGTCATGAGGACTATAGATCAACATTTTGGTGAGAATATAACTTCTTATAGGAAAAAATAAGTTGTTTTTGGTTATATTTCTGGAATTAAAAATTAATCTTAACCAGCCCAATACCACGTGAGAGATTTGACTTCCTTAGCTAGAAAGAGATGCAAAGTTTTAGGATTTTTTCCCATACATTTTTAACTGGATTGAGCATCTGTGTGTGTGTGTGTGTGTGTTTGTATGTGTGTGTGTGTGTGCATGTCTGTACTTGCATGTGTGCTTGTGAGTGTTTAACAAAATTAAATTCTTCTACCATGTGTGTCCTTGTTCTTCAAGGTTGGTAACCAGCACCTTTAATGAGCCCAATTTTCCAAATATTTTAAATGAAGATGTGTAAAAATTTCTAAAATTGTCTCTTGTATATCGTATGTATGAACAGAAGGTCTAGAAGCAGTGGTCTATGTTCCTACCTGTGGATATTTATTTAGAACTGAGAAGCTGCTCTGCCCTTTCAGGGTCAGGGAGCTCTCAATTTTATCATATTCCTCACAAAACACTCTCACTCACTTGTCAAAGGCCTTTCAACATTTGAGTTTGCAACTTGTGGTTCACATCAGTGCTATTCAAAGGACCATTCATCTCACTGTGTATATCTTGGACACCATGCACTTGAAAATAGGACAAAAAGTGACTTAAAATAAGTGGGGTTCATATATCAAAACATAATGCCTGTGGTATGTTTTGTGCTCTTATATTAAATGTATTATAATGTAAAATATATTCCTGTGAGGTAAAAGTTAAAATAAAATTGAAAGCCAAAACAAAGAATGAGGCCGGGCGTTGGTGGCGCACGCCTTTAATCCCAGCACTCGGGAGGCAGAGGCAGGCGGATCTCTGTGAGTTCAAGGCCAGCCTGGACTACCAAGCGAGTTCCAGGACAGCCTCCAAAACAATACAGAGAAACCCTGTCTCAAAAAACCAAAAAAAAAAAAAAAAAACCAAAACAAAGAATGATTGCAAATCCTATCTTCATAATCTTTTTGTTTGGTTGTCTATTTGTGTGAGTACATTCATGAATCACTTTTGGTGTAAAATGTCATTGCTATATATATATGATTTAATAGTTGGAAATTTAATGAGCAATGTTTCTCAAAATTCAGCTAATGTAGGTATAATCTAGTGGTCTTGGGCTAAGGATACAGACTAGTGGAACAATAGTCTCCTAGCATGCTTGGGGTTAAACTCATTTCCCAGGGCTAGGGGGTAATACTTCCTGAACATTCAGTCATTTTTTCCCAAGTCACCACACTGTCAACACTTAACATAGTAATCCAGAGACAAGTCCAGTTCTTTGTGCTTTTAACTAGCTTTCAGTCTTTGATTCTCAAACACAAGGAAAGATGGGCTTGGTAGTTAACTCCAGAGGCGAGTATGAGCCTGGGCTAAATGCAGTGAGTCCCATGGAAGATTGAGTTAGTGTCAAACTCTTTCTCAAACAATGACTAAAAAACAACACCAGTAGCAGGAATAAATAACTAAGACAAAATATTCGTTTTTCTCTTTCTCAAACAATTAAAAACCAATACCAGAAGCAGGAAAAAATAACCTAAGAAGAAGGTAAAATAAATGTTCATTTTACAGTAACTTTAGAGAGAATTCTGGAATCGAGAAAACAAATGATTGTGAAAAGTCTAAAAAATGTATACACAATAGCAAAATAAATCACAATTAACTTCTAAACAAAAATATTGACCTGGATATTTTTGTTTCAGTTGAGAAAGGATTTTATGCGTCCCAGGTCAGCCCAGAACTTACCAAGAATGACAAAAGAGCTTAAGATCTTATCTCTAATTCCCAAGTGCTAAGATAAAGGGCTTGTAACAAAGAGTTGGGTTTATGTAGAACCAGAGCCTAAATGAAAGACTGCCCAAATGCTAATCAAGCATTACAAAAGAAACAAACAAACACACCCACCCACACCCACACCCACACACACACACAAAAAAACAGGACATTTTCTCTCTACTTTATCTAGGAGTCCAGATAAAGCTCACACAACATGAAAGCCTTTATTATAAGTGTTTGCTCATAAATCTCAAAAACAAAACAAAAGAAGAGATAAAATCCATGAAGAAAAATGACTTACAGAGTAGATGAAGTTAAACTCCTTGGAGCTGCTCAACTGATTTGAAATGCTGGTATATTCTTTGATGACCTTCTTTACCTCTGGAAGAAATCCAGTCTGGATTTTCCCTACCAACCCATTGTGTTCTGTTCCAACCCTCCAACCTGACCTGCATCTACAGACCACACACACACACACACACACACACACACACACACACACACACACACACACACACTTCTCCATGGGTAATTCTCCCTTACCTTGTGACTGTCAGATCTCATCCTTAGATGCACTCAACACACTGCCAGGAAGTCACTGGCACCTTGACGTTCGTGGATGGGTGTGTTTGCAAAAAGCTGTAAGCCTGACCCACCCTGAAACTCCTGTTAGCATACAGGGTGGGTATACAAGCAGTTCGCAGTCAGAGAAATGGCTGATATGGTGTTCATTACTTTCTCTTGCAAATAGGGCAAATAGTGCTCTCTCCTCTAGAAAGAGATATTCAAGATTGCAAGATCCCCAAGAAGTGTTGGGAATTTGGTCTTAGGCTATTTAGAGGTTTTGTTCACATACTGTTTTGCCCCAGGTTGTTGTTCTGATTCCCACCATCACTCCTCTACTTGATCCGATCCTGGAACCTGTGGACTCCTGCTGTGCTCCAAAGATAAACAGTGTCCCTATTGGCTCACCAGTTTCCCACCATACACACTACAATGATTTGTTTTTTGTAGGTGAGTGGTCCGGATGCCAGCCAATCAGACACGAGCTTGGAATATTTTTCCTTACAGCCAACCAGAGCCAACCTTGGGCCATAAACTGACGCGCTGTTCAGAGCAGCCAATCAGAACAGAGCATGGGGCAGAGCTACTTCCTGGAAGAAGCTCCAGAAAGAGCCCCTGGCTTAACTGAAAGTCATAGCAAGCCAGCATGATTAACGCCTGGCATTTTGCTGCTAGCACTTTATCAAGCTCACCCCTAGCACTTTATGAAACTCACCGCCATTGACCCCTTGTTCAACCCTTGTTCGGAACTTCAAAGGTAAGTCCTGGTGGGCAGGGAAACAGGAGGAACCCGCTTGGAAATGTAGTTGGGCAGGAGCCAGTAAGGGGGTGATCCAAACTGGAAGTCAGTCTCTCAGCCAGTGAAGGCCTTGAACAGTTGTCAACTGCAGTACACTTTTGGGATTGAGCTGTTAGCTCCTATTGCCTTCAACTATGTGGACCTGGAACATCGGTTTCTCTCCAATTCATTATATTCCCGGGTAAACATGGTAAATTCCTCCTAGATCTATATAATTTAATTATTTTCCTTCTGTTAAAAATATTGTAAGGCAAAAGAAGGAAACCTAAGTACTCAACCTTTAAAATATAAAAGAAAATCTATATCAAAATGTTGTAGCGTTGGGCTTGGCAATAATATCTTGACTATGAACCAAAATCCAAGTTTCAGAGGGAACTTTTTTCTAGATGGATAACGGTAGATACAAGGTCAATGTATTTGATGGCCCAGGCACATATACCTTAAAATGGTTATAGTACTAAATTTTATGTTACTTTATTTTATTACAAAAATATTGCAATTATCCTAACATATATACTATATAGATAAGAATATATATCCGTATAACCCCTATTAGATTGTCAACAAATCATATTTACCTGATTTATTGAACATTTATTATAATCCATTCATTATTCCAAGTATTGAATTTCTATTAATAGAGTCAATATTTTAAATGACCATATGTGGTTAGTGTCTATTAACTCTCAGACTTCTCCTGAATAACAGTCTCATTCATCCAATAAATTCTATTTTGATTTTGTTTTTCATTCAAATTCATTTCCTTTCTGACAATACCCCTAAGTAAATTATAATTATTTAATGTTTAAAATTTTTCTACAATTTGATTTTTGCAGTTATTCTAAAAGTGATATTTCTTCTTCTTCAAACCTATAACTTCTAGAAGAATTCCTATCATGGTTGTATCTGCTTTTAGTTATGGTTCGTTCACTTTAGTTTTCCTTTCAGTGTATTAATTATACCATATTTTCTCTTTGTATTGTGCTGTTCATGGATGGATCGGTTATTTATTATCAAAAATAATTTACTGCTAATTGTGGTACATGTCTTTCAGAGCACACACCTGTGAGTTTCTATAGGGATATTTAATAGTATTGTCACATCTGTGTGAGATATGGATATTATCTGCTTTACATGATGATGGCAAGTATTACACATTGTCTTATACAAGGTGTGTGATCTCCTCAATTGATGCACACATCAGCAGTTTTGTAAAATTTCCATTAGCACAACAATCTGTTGATACTCACATTTTCACAATTTTTGCATTTTTATTCATTTAATGAATTGAGAACTTATCTTTATGATTTGTACTACCCATAATAATATAATCATCAACAGTTTAGGTAACTCTTATTTCTATCTGTTCACAGTCTGCCAAGAATTCACTTGGTTAACTTTTATTCAAGGGTAATTACCTTTAAGAATTTTCCTAATGTTCATAGAGAAATTTTCACAAAAAACGATAACTATATGCACTGGAAGTGGTCACCCTTATAAAAATACGTAGATTAACCATGTTTTCCAAGAAAAAATGGAAATGGTCATAGATATTTTGTGTGGGAATCAGACAAATGAAATAGCTGATCTCTTACAACAGAGAGGAATTCAGCACTCTGTGTGTAAATAACAAGCCATCAATAGCAGTATGTTTAAGTAGTGAAAAAAATTCAAGAGTGTGAGTCACTGAAAAGTCCAGATGTCAGTAGGTGTCATTGTCTTCTTAGTATGACACAGCGTTTTGAGAAACAATCAAGGATCTTAATCTGTTTTCTTGTCTTCCTTGTATGTCAGCATGGTCAGGCTGAGTGTCTTCCTCTTCATCAGCATCATTGTTTGGTTTACTGAGCATGTAGTCTGAGCCATACACTTTTCTGAGAGTGGAGTTTATTTTATTAACTCATTTCGTGCTCTAAATGACCCTATGTAGTTAACACTCTATTCCACTGCTTATCTAAAGCTATTAAGGAGTATCTCCATCATTAGCACCTAATGGTACCTCCCGAGTGGTACCTCCTGTGCATCCCTGGGTTCTTGACAAGAACCTGCACCTGGATACAATGGAAACTCTCAAGTATGATTTCCATTATTCAATGAGAAAGCCTAACTTTTTGCCAGTATCTCCCTATTGTTGTAAAAATTAAATAAAAACAGAATTTGCATATGTGGTGAGAGTTTAGAAGAAAAATATCTTTGCTTTAAGGAATTTTTTCTCAAACTATATTGTGGCCTGTTCAAAATATAACTGTAAGCCAGACACACCCAACATGTTAGAACTTTAAGAAATGTTTCTGTATGGCAGGCTTGACCACATTGTTTCCTCAGTACACTTTAGTCTTTACAATTATGCCTTCAATTAATTAAATGAGGCTCTCTAACATTACAAAACGTATACCTGTTTTAGTTAGTGCATGCATTAAAACAATTACAGCTGAAGAATACCTGTATCCCAATTCGTTTACTGTTGTTTGTGCAAATGGCTGAAGACAGTTTCCTATTCTAGTTCACACAAAACATTTCATCACACTGCTTCAAATCAATCCCTGAGGCAAAGGACATGGAACATAGGCCTTAGCTTATGGAAAGCACATAGATTACCACTGGAACTGTGGTGATGCGTTAGTAGGGTGGGAATTAGGGAAGGGGAAAACCTAACCATTTTATCCCCAGATCTAGGACTTTTCTTTAGAAGAGATAGGACAAAGTTCCATGAAAATGGTGAACATTTCTGGGACTAATTTTCTGGGGTGACTGTATTTTGTTTGTTGGAAAGGGCTTGTACAATCCTTAAATTGGCTCAAGACAGCCCAAGGGAAAGTCTTCCGTAGTTTCTGAGTCCTTGAATTAATTACGATTTGATACACATGGCCCAATCTTCTTGTTGATTTCCCCCAGAGTGACATGATTCCGGTTAGCTCTGGGAAAACAAAAGTTAAGTGTTCTTATCTTTTGGATGACTGCTTTCAACTGTGAGGGTGGTGGAATCCCTCTCTCTCTCTCTTTGAGATCATGCAACTCTCACTCAAGCTAATCGAGTAAATAGAGCAAGACTTCTGAGACTGGTTTATACATTGTTTTGAAGCAATGGAGTTTTGTGGATTCTGAGTAGTGAGAAACAAATTGTATAATGAAGTTTAATAGTCAAGGGTATCAGTGTATGGCCAAAAAGAGTAAAAAGGGCCCTGCTAAGGGAAGTACAAAGAAATCCAGTACCAATATTTGGAATATGATCAATATGATTCAGATAATTTTTGGTAAATTTGGGGGACACAACCTGTACATTTTGGTGTAGAATCTCTGTTCCATACACATTTTATTAGCAACAACAAAAGAAAAGCTAACAAACAACCCCCCCAAAAGAAAAACTTCTAAGGAAGAGGCCTTTTTCAGTTTTTTTTCTGAAATCTTCTTTTTCTTTGGGAAATATATATATATATATATATATATATACATATATATATATATTTCTGTAGCCCAGTTTCTTATCAATTGCAGACATAGTTCCTAACAACCAACCAGTTTCTATCTGCTCCTTTGTTAGTAACTGTCAAGGCTATAAATGAATCCTTCAAATCATTCCCCTTCTCAGGGGAACAAAATTCACAATTACAGTACATATGGGTATAGATGCAGCCTCCCATTACTAGACTATACACCTAAATCTATCTGATTCACAGTGAAAGACACTGGTCATAGTACAATTACATTTCAAATCCAAATAGATTCACTAGTGACAGATGTATGATGTAGAAGGTTTATTGTAAGTAAAAGGGATAAAGTCAGAGTCCAAAACATGACCAAACTGAGCTGTGCCATATGAAGAATTGAGTGAGGGAAAGGGAGAGGCCAGAGAACGGAACCAGATGCAGCCAGGATGAGAAAGGTACAAATAGAGTGGGTAAACAAAATGGCTAGATTATATAAGAAGTCACATGGGGGAAGGGAAGCCCTGCCCCCTGAGCTATACAGGATCAGAATAGGGGTGGGGTGTGCCAGCTAAGAAGGGCCTATAAAAGGCAGGCACTGAGGGATACAGCAAGAACCTGGATGCCAGTATCCAACTTTGATATGTGAAATAGTTACCTCAGCTATTTGTCCCAACAATATCATTGAAAGGTACTGTAAAGACTATTCTTGGTTTTCTACTTGACTACATATTGAATTAACCAAAACCCAAAAATGGAGTGCACACTTCTATTCCAGAAGGACCTTTTGCTCTCTGCCTGCTTGCTTTTACATTGCTAGGAAGTCCATTCGTTCACTGTCATTAGTCTACTTCTTTGGAACCCCAGAGATACTCAAGGCCAACTAGGACATCCAACATTGTGGACTGACTGAGAAACTACTGGATTCTTGTATTTTCCTTCCATAGCCAGCCATTGTTGGATTAGCTAGACTGCAACCTCTAAATCATTCTAATAAGTCCCTTTTATCTATAATAAGTTCTTTTACTCTAGAGAATCTAGAGTACTCTGGCTAATACATGTATCCTCTCACATTAAGAAATATTCTTACTAAAGTCTGCCTGATTAGAAAATCTATAGAAAAATGACCATATATCATGATTTATATTATTTACCAAAATTGCATCTAATGTATTTGAGAGTACTTGAAGTGTGTGTGTGTGTGTGTGTGTGTGTGTGTGTGTGTGTGTGTGTGTGTGTGTTGGAATAATAAAAGAATAATCCCCAAATTAAATCTGTGAAGTAGATGCATAGACACCTCATTTTTTATACAATGTTTAAAAAACATTAAAAGAAATGGTGCTTGCAGATCTCTCTAGTTCATCCTTTTCCTTCATCGCCTTTAGCATCCCTTTCAGTTTTACTTTGGAGTATGGATAAACTAAAGTCGTTGTATGTTGGGATGTGGCTTTGATTTATCTGGTGGTCACCCTTAGTCTTCACACTGCTCTGGTGCGTACCTCTTTAAATTTTCATGATGTTTGCCATCTGCCT